TCCTGCTCTGGTGGCCGCGTTGGGCTCATGGGACGCAAGGGCTTCCCTCGGCCTTTCCATTCATTGTCTGTGCCTTTCCCAGCATGGGGAGGCTGCAGTTTATCCCGGAGGTTCTTCCAGCTGCACTCCAGCTGTTTCCTGGATGGGTCCCCCCATTGTCTCTCTGCCCCCCGTGCAAGGCCAGGCTGAGAGGTCTCCTTTTGGCTTTTCCATGTGCCATCTGTCCGTCCTGTAGGACTCATGGAGCGTGGTGGCCAGGCTCCTCCCTGCTTGCTTCCATCCATGCTCTTCCCAAGGCTTGGGGGGTGCAGGGTGTTCCCCCAGCTTTTTCTCTCACTGGCTTTCCCCATGCTTCCAGCCTGCCAGGCAACTTGGCTCCTCTCTGCTCTGTTCCTCCAGTCCTTCTCTGTGTGCTGGGGAGGGCTCTGAGCTCCTCCTGCCCTCTGTTGCAACCTAGAAGCTGGGCTGGGGGATCGTGGGCTGTTGCCTCCCCTCTCCAGCCGCTGAGTAGGACTTGTGGGCTCCCGGGGCTTCCTCCAGTCCCTCTCCACCCGTGGAGAAGGGCACATGGGGCGCAGGGGGACCCCGGCCTTCTCTGTTTGTCGAGCCGGGCTGGGGGAGCGCCGGGACTCCTTGGAATCTCTGCTGCGCAGCTCAGGGTGCCAGGAGAGCCGCTGACCCTGGGGACACACAGGACAGAGAGCAAAGGGAACACAAGTGATAGCAAGGAGGGAAGTAAGGTGGCATGAGAGCTGGGAGACAAGTTGGTTGGGTTATGAAAGGTGTTGCAGAACCTGCACCCCTATGCATAGAGCCAGCTTCTATCCAGGAGAAGCCTCTTGGACGCAGGAATAGGGGAAAATGTGGCAGGAGAAAACAGCCAGGACTCACCTCCTTGGGCAGGCTGGGGCTGGACTGCCTCCGAATGACTCTGCCTTTGCTGGGTGGCACTGGGGTCTTGCCATCCAGCCGCTCCACGCGGCCCTCCTCCAGTGCCTGGAAAGCCTCCAACGTCTCAGATTTCCTGCAGGCACACACAGCCTGTCTGGCTGCTGACTGAGCCCCGCTCCAGGCCTACATCTCTGCCTGCCCCAGATGTTGAGGCCTCCACCCTATTGCTGTAACCATCCCAGCTTCCTCATCCACATCTTCTTCATGCCATTTCTTTGGGTCCTCTGCACTTTGCCCCTTCCTGTCTCATCCACTGCCTGGTCCCTGTTACACCTTTGTATAGCTCATGCCACCATTGGGCTGCCAATTTTGGAGCCACTTCTGCTTCTCCAGCTGAGGACTCACCTGGGGACCTCTCGGTATCCCTAATCCTACTAGGATTTGGGAGCTTCTTTCTCCTTTCCCCATTTCCCAACTCTACAGCATGTCCTGCAGCTCCCAGGACGTGGCTGGGAGCTTCAAATCTGAGCTGTAACTCGCAGCCCTGCTCTCTCCAAGCTATGAAGTGACCTGTGGGAACAATCCACTGCAGAGCTCTCTATTGCTCCTCACCTGCGCTCACAACCAAATATCCTCTCCACCTCCACTCGGCCAGGGCTGAGCGTGCGGGAGCCACGGCGGTCAGCAGCATCCCCACGGCCAAGGCGCTTGGGTTTGGGCAGGTCTGCCAGCACCGTGTACTCCTGCCTCTCCAGCACACGCTTCCCCTCTGTGCCCCCAGCACTGGGATGCCCACGGGGCTCCCCAGCCCTGGAGGAGGATGCCAAATGCCTGCTGCTGCCTGGACCAGGAGAGGAGCTGCGGCCAGGACGAGGTACAGAGGAAGCCCAGGAAGGGTCAGGTTTTCGAGGTTCCAAGGAGAAATAGCCACTCTCTATGCGATGCTTTGCCCAGCCCTCCTTGGGCTTCTGGCTGGCAGGAGCACGCTCTGGAATGGAAAGAAGACTGTTGAATGAGTGGTGTGTAATGCTTCTCTGCCCACAGCAAAGGAGGGCTTCAGGGTTAGGAACAGGGGGTCAGAGGGAAAACCCAGACTGCATGGTGGGGTGGGAGCACAGCAAAGCATGTAGGGAGGCAGCAGCACCATGTTTTATGGTGAGCACACCAAGAGAATCCCACAGGAGAGCAAACCACATGTACCTGCTTTTGGCACAAAGACTTCTTTCCTAACACTCGGAGCCTCTGTCCTCACCCAGGATCCAGA